CCCATCCTCCCGTCCTCCTCCTCCTCTCCTGCTCCTCCTCCACCGTTCCCCCGCCTTCCCCTGTCCTCCTCCCCTTCCTCCTCCTTCTCCACTTCTTCCTCCCTCTCCCCTGTCCTACCCCTCCTTCTCCTCCCTCCTTCCTCCCTTTCCGTCCTCCTTCTCCTCTTTTTCCTCCTTTCCTTTCTCTCCGTCGTTGTCGTCGTCGTCGTCCTCCTCCTCCTCCTTATCCTCCTCCTTATCCTCCTCCTCCTCCTCCTCCTCCTCCTCCTCCTCCGCCTCTTCCTCCTCTTCCTCCTCCTCCGCGAGCTGCGGATAGAGCCCCGCGATCCCCTCCGTCCCCCCTGCCGGCCGGCGCGACGAGGGGGAGACCGGCGACAGGTCGCATTTCTGCTCTGGGACACGGAGTCTCATCCCCTGCCTTGGGGGCCACATGCGAACCCTACCCCTACCCCCCACGATTTCTGAGGGGGAGGGTGGGGTTCACTTCGTTCGGGAGCAATGAAGGGTAGGGGTAGGGTTCGCATGTGGCCCCCTACTGCCGCTCCTCGGCGCCCCTTCCCCGGGGGGGCCCGCCAGCGGCCCCGCAGAGGCCGAAGCTGGCGGACCGCCTCGAGCTGCCGGGCCCTCTCCTCTGTCGTGGCGGTCCTTTCGTGGCGCGCCCCCCCCCCTTGGGGAAGGGCATCGGCCCTGCACCAAGGGCCGCTTCTGGACGGCCCCCAGGGCGGGGAGACGGCCGTCGGAGGCCGGAGACGCGAAGCAGAAGCGGGCCGTCGCGCGGCTTCTTGGAGCGCCACCGGGATCTTCAGGGGATGCCCGGGGCTGTTGTCCCAGGCCTCCGCCGTCATGATTTCTTTCGCAGCGTGGAGCCCTGGAGTGCTCGAGACCCATGCCCTGACACTGGTCGTTCATGCTGTTGGTCGGCTGCCCCGCTGCCTGGTGAGGGCCCTCGTAGGCCGAAAACACGCCGCAAACCTCCTGTGGTGTTTTTTCCTGCTTGACCCAAAAGGGGGTCCAGCCGAAAGGGAGTGGTGCAACAGATTTGGTGCAATTGATTTGCGGGTTTGCATTAGATTCGGGGCTTGCAACACATCCGGATGAGCAAGTGTATTGCTGGTTTTTCGCGTACACATTCGATGCATTCGAATGCAATACACTTCTCCGTCGCACTACATTTGCAATACACTTGCTCCAAACCTATTGCACCACCCCCTTTCAGCCGGACCCTCTTTTGGGTCAACAGCATGTTTTTCACGACGCAACGGGGTAGGGGCCCAGGAGTCAAAATTCGACCCCGAGACACATCTCTGGGCGCGTTCTGAACAGAATTTGGAAGCGAATCCAGCCGTGGCGACGAGAAGCCCCCCCCCGAAGCGCAGAAAACGCCCAAAAGGCCCCCAAAACCAAAAACTGTTGTCGATGGGACAGCTGTCAAAGAAGGGGGGAGATTAACTCTCCGACTAAGCTTGCCCAATCCCGCCCCGCTCCCTCCATCCTCCTCCCGCCCCCCCCTCCACCCGTTCCGACAGCACGTGCCCAACCCCCAGCGGATCCGTGGGGTGGGGGGCGATTATGGCCCCATCCAGAGTAGCCTTCTACCTCGAGGCGAAACGGTCTCGGTTCGGCCTTGCCGCCCCGCTCCCAGCCGGCCCAGCCGGCCCAGCCGGCCCAGCGCAGAAGGCCCCCGCTTTGTGCCGCGCGGGGGGCGCCCGCGCGCCATGCGGGCAGCCTGACATGGCCGGCGCCGCCGAGCCGGCAGCGGCAGGCGTCCCGATCGGAGGGGCCCTGGAAGCCTCGATCAGGTTGAGGCAGTCAAGGAGGATGAGGATGAGGAGGAGGAGGAGGAGGAGGAGGAGGAGGAGGAGGAGGAGGAGGAGGAGGAGGAGGGGGAGGAGGAGGAGGAGGAGGAGGAGGAGGAGGAGGAGGAGGAGGAGGAGGAGGAGGAGGAGGGAGCAGGAGGAGGGGGAGGAGGGGGAGGAGGGGGAGGAGGGGGAGGAGGAGGAGGAGGAGGAGGAGGGGTCTTGTCACCACGTTGCTGCGTCTTGACTCCATTCCCGCCTGCCCCATCCGTCGCCTCGGCCTCCTCGCTCCCTCTGACTCGTCTCTCCTGTTGCCCATTGCCCCATATCTTCTTTTCATCCGGCTTCAAGCCTTCGAGCCTCCAGTCTCGTGGGAGGCAGGCGAATCCACCTTCCCTGCCATAAGGGCAGTCCTGGTGCGTCGAGCTGGCGCCCGAGGTGGTAGTGCGCGCGCGGGGGCGCAAGCGCGGTGAGGAGAGACGTTGCCCGCGGCGACGTGCGAGGAGGAGGAGGAGGAGGAGGAGGAGGAGGAGGAGGAGGAGGAGGAGGACCAGTGTAAGCCAAATATTCATCAACGATGTTGGAATCAACCGCCCCTTCAAGCTCCCTCGTCATAGGCCCCTACAAGGATTCATTTCCATCGAGGGATCCGCCTCGTTGGGAGACAACCGTTTGAAGACCCTGAAGCGTGCCAAAGCACCGTTCTCGGGGGCCCAACGCCGCGAATCACATGACTGCTGCGTCTTGGTGCCAGGACAACATTCCTGTGACTTCAACGCCGCGGGTCTTGAGTTCTTTCAAAACACCACTTCTGACACTTTGACCATGGGAGTCCGTGAGACTCTGGCATTTCCTTGAAACGAGTGCGCGCGGCGCTGAGGCGAGACTCACATTTCGAAAACGAGCCGCCCTCAATCCGAGAAACACTTTCATACTTTTGGAACGAATGTGCGCTGCACGAAGGCGAGAGCCACATTTTGAAAACGAGCCGCCCTCCCTGCGACGAATGCGCGCGGCGCTAAGGCGAGACTGAACTTTTGAAAACCATCCGCCCTCAATCCTTGAAGCTCTTGCAAATTTTGAAAACGAATGTGCGCGGCGCTTAGGCGAGAACCACATTTTGAAAACGACCCGCCCTTGATCTGCGAAGCTGTTACCCATTGTCAAGCTCCATTGCCGTACATGTTGAGGATGTCTTAGGCGAAACGCTCGGAACGCTCGTTCGACTGGCTTCGTGGTGTGACAGGGAGAAGTTATCTATAAGGGAAAGTAATGGAGGAGGAGGTGGAGGAGAAGGAGCAAGAGGATGAGGAGGAGCAGGATGAGGCCGAGGACGTGGAGGATGAGGAGGAGGATGAGGAGGAGGAGGAGGGGGAGGAGGAGGCGGAGGAGGCGGAGGAGGCGGAGGAGGAGGATGCGGAGGAGGAGGACGAGGAGGAGGGAGGAGGAGAGGAGGAGGAGAGGAGGAGGAGGAGTAGGAGGAGGAGGAGGAGGAGGAGGAGGAGGAGGAGGAGGAGGAGGAGGAGGAGGAGAAGGAGGTGGTCGAGGTCGAGGTCGAGGTCGGGGTTGAAGAGGAGGAGGAGGTGGAGGAGGACCAGTGTAAACACAAGACTAACCAACGATGTTGAAATACACCCTCCCTCCAAGATCCCCCTCTTCGTAGGCCCTGGATCATTTCCACTGAGGGAATTACGCCGTTGGGGGAACAACCGTGTGAACATGTTGAAGCGCGCCAAAACACCATCCTCAGGACCTCAGCGCCACGAGTTAATACGACTGTTACATTTTTGGCGATCTTGAATCGCGCCAGAGCAGCATCCCTGGGACTTCAACACCGCGAACCAACGTAACGGCTGCGCCCTGACAGTTCTGAATCGTTCCGCAACGCCATTTCTGCTACGTGAACCTTGAGAACGGATTAAACTCGTGCAAATCATTACAACGAGTGTGCGCGGCGTTAATGCGAGAGCCACATTTTGAAAAAGGAGCAGCCCTCAATCCGTGACGCTCTTGCAAGGTTTTGAAACATGTACCCTGCTCTCATACGAGAGCCACGTTTTGAAAACGAACCGCCCTCAATCCGTGAAGCCCATGCATTTTTTGAAAACGCATGTGCGCGGCACGAAGGCGAGAGCCACATTTTGAGAACGGCCCGCCCTCAATCCGTGACGCGCTTGCGAAACTGTAAGATGAATGTGCGCGGCGCCAAGGCGAGAGCAACATTTTGAAAACGGCCCGCCCTCAATGCGAGAAGCCTTTGCACGCACACACACACGCTTAAAACGAATGCACGCGGCGCTAAGGCGAGAGCCACATTTTGAGAACGGCCCGCCCTGAATCCGTAAAGCTCTCGCAATCTGTGAAGACGAATGCGCGCTGCGCCAAGGCGAGAGTCACATTTCGAAATCGAGCCGCCCTCAATCCGTGAAGCTCTTGCAAACTTTCAAGACGAGTGTGCGTGGCGCTAAGACGAGAGCCACATTTTCAAAACCACCCGCCCTCCATCTGTGAAGCTGTTGTCAGTTTTTTACGCATCAGGTCCATAAGCGGTGGGGAAGTCTCAGGCGAAACGCCCGGCCCGCCGACCGGCCTCGGGGTGCGACAGGGAGGTTCTATAAGGAACAGGAACGGAGGAGGAGCAACATGAGGAGGAGAAGGATGGGGAGGAGGAGGAGGAGGAGGAGGAGGAGGAGGAGGAGCAGGATAAGGAGGAGCACAATAAGGAGGATCAGGGTAAGGATGATGATGCTGCTGATGATGCTGCAGATGATGCTGATGCTGTTGCTGATGCTGATGCTGCAAATGATGCTGATGATGAGGATGAGGAGGATGAGCAGGAGCAGGAATTGGAGGAGGAGGAGGAGGAAGAGGAGGAGGAGGAGGAGGAGGAGCAGGATAAGGAGGGGCAGAATAAGGATAAGCAGTGTAAGGATGATGATGCTGCTGCTGACCATGATGATGACGATGATGATGATGATTATGATGATGATGATGCTGATGATGATAATGCTGATGATGCTGAAATGATGCTGATGATGCTGCTGCTGATGATGATGCTGATGATGATGCTGCTGATGATGATGATGATGGTGGCTCAAGTTTGGTGGGCTCAAACTTGACCCCTCAAGTTTGAGCTGGCAGGGCTTCTGCCTTCGAACTGTTACCCTCATCAGCATTTTCTTCGGGCGCGCGCGTCTGGCCGCCATGCCGAGCCCTCCTGAGTGGTGGAAAGGTGCTTCGGAACAGCTTGTTAAAGAACAGTCGGAACAGTTGGAGCGGATCTTGACGCCCATAAAGGAAGACGTGAAAGCAATGAAAGGAGACATTTCGAGCCTCCAGAAGGGCCAGGACGATTTGACGAACCGGGTGGAGGCGCTGGAGAAAGGCACGTCCCCGCGGGAGACCTTCCAGCCGACCTGTGTCGACATCCTAGGATTCTGCCAGTTCCAGAACAGGGACGAGCATGGCATCAACAGGACCGAAGGCCGTCGCTCATGTCAAATCCCTGAAGGGAGTCCTTCACCAGGATATTCGTAAACACGTTCGGGAATTCGAACTTCGAGGGGGCATCAACCACGCCATCCGCATTCTGATTTCAAGCAAATACCTGGATGAAATTAAAAACACTTGGAACGATTATTTCTCAGACCCCGGGAACAAGTATAAAGGGGAGAAACAACTTCGATCTCGTGCGGAACCCCACCCAAATGTCCTTAAGGTGTTGCAAGTCTTTGGGAAGTTGTCAGATTGGGACGCGGAATCTCTACCACGTCAGTTGGGACCTAGAGTGTTTTGGGCGCCAGACTACAAGATCACAGTCGTCACGTCGCAGAATAAGAGTTCCCACGGGGTCAAACCTTCTGCGGATTTGTGTCAGGTGCGACGTGGGGGACATCGAGTGGAACGAGCAGGGCCTGCAGGTTGCGAGCCTTGGTGATTCGGCCACCGCCACGGCTACGATCACCGCGTTCCGCAGGAAGAAGAAATAGGGGGGCCCACTACCTAATTGGTGTCCGGCCGAGGGGTTGGCATCGGTTGCAACATACAACGAGCACAAACGATCCCCTTGCGAAGCAACGCGGATCGCACGGAATTTGAAAAGGCTTGGCTTTGGCTCGGCTGTTACTTGTCTCCATGAGGTTCCCGCTGGACATCTGGCAGGGTGCTGACGGGTACCCGGTACATCGTCCATACAAGCCGCACCATGGCCGATGAAGCTGCCAACAGGGATGGATTCATTGTGGTTTTCTGGTTCTGACCAGCCTGAATCCGAGGATACGAGGGGAGCGGCATGGGAGGTATTTGAGCGGGTTGGTTTTGTACATGGGCGGTGGTATCCACATTGATTTCAGCGTGCATTTTATCCACAAGTGTCGGGACCATGATTTTGAGTTTGACTTCAGCTTCGTAGACATTGTCAGGGCAGAGACTATCCAGTATTACGAGAAGTGCGCGTCTAGATCCGGGTCCAGGCTGCACGTGGTGGTCGGCATGGGCGCTAACGTCACCTTGCCGAGGAATGTCGATGGGGTGAGGGGCGCGACTTTGAGACCGCCTCTGGTGTCGCACGCGGTTGCTATGCAGACTTGTGTTCTATTTTGGATGCAGGTTTTAGGCGTGCGGGCATTGAACGCGTTTGGGGGCGATCACGGTTTGGACAATTTATGGACGTGCGGGTTGAAACGACGGGCTGCAGATAAATCACATATTGACTATTTAGCCGTTTCTTCTGGCATTACTGGTTTCGGGAAGGCGTTTATTTTTTTGGACATTCTTTCGGAGGACGCTCTGAATACCAAAATGGACCACAGGCCAGTGATCGCTCACATCGATTGGGACGTCTTGGATTGCGGCACCGTGGGTTCGCAGGACAGGTATTCGCTTGACTCAACCCTCCGCGTGCGGGCATTACCGAAGCGGGGGTTCACGGACGCGCAGGTGGTGAAACCATTCCAGGCTTGCGTGAACAAGCGAGACGTGTTGGGTGTCCAAGCGTCCATGTTTGAAGATTGCCTTCGGGATATTGCCCAAGCCCACCACGATCGGCAGTCAAGCCTCTCTGTAGACCACAAAGGATGTCTTTGACTACAACTTCGTTCTTTACGGCTGCAGCTGCGGGTTCAATCCAACTCCGACGCGCGACAGACGACCATGAAGTCGATTTGGAAGCGTGTGCGGTCGTTGCGGGCTTTACGGGCGCACAGGAAAGCGGGGGGCATGTTAGGTGGCTTGACTTGCGCCAGGTTTACGCCGACATAATTTGTCACCTACTGGCAGACGGGCCTCGACCGGGCCGAGTGGATCCGGGGCGCCCGCCAATTCGGTTAAAAGCGGTTCGGGGACTTGAGCAATCAGCCAAAGCAGCAACTACAACGTTGGGGGGCTTTGGTTGAGATGGCCGCTGACCATGGGCCTGGAGAGCCACAAGAACTCTGGGGCACTATCCAGGCCAGGGCAGAGATGCGACAGGTCGGAGCGTCTGGATCTGATGGGGCACTCACGGACATCTTCAAAACCCTTACATTTTTGATTGTTGCACGGGCGCGCCAATATTTTCTAGTATCTTTTTGTTCGTTGGATGCGCTTGCGTTGTCTCCTTATTGGAAGATCCTCGAGTTCATTGGGCTGCAGAAAGAGAAGTTCGTCAGAGCGTTTTCTGATTTACGGTGGACTGGCAATCCCCAGTCCTGCAGAAGTGGTTCTTGCGAGCGGTCTGGCATAGAACCCAAGAGCAGCTAATGCTGCCGATAATGCATTTGTGCTGTTTCAGGAAGTCGACCGCCACCTTTGACTGGCGTAGCGAGGGAGATTTGTATCAGGCTAAGTTCTGGAAGCTGCCCGTGCTCATTGCAATCCAAGACGTGGCTGCGGCGTTCGATTCGATGCCTCGCGAGCCCGTGCTGGACTCCTGGCTGGCGCGCGGGGTGCAATCCTGGGAGACGGCTATATTGTTGCGCGAACTCACGGGGATCGAGGGGGGCGATCGCACTACCTCTGTTCGTAGGTACTCCGGGTTTCTGCTTCGCCCAGGGAGGCAAGCAAGGGGGCGTGGCAACGCCATTTGAGTGGAACACGTGGCTTCGACATATCTTGCAACCAGTTGTCGACAAATGGCGGGCGGCCTGCATGGGGTTCTCTTTGCTGGACAAGGAGGGGGGCGTTGAGGAATCGATCAGCCATGCGGTATGTGCAGATGCAATAATTCTTTTCGCCGCCACTTCGCCATGATGCAGCACATTGAAAACGGCATTCGGTGTGTTTTTGGATGGGGACGGTGAGAGGTATTTCAAATAAAAGCTGTCTTCTCTGGAGTGCTTGCGAGGGGGGTGCCTGGGGGCAAGTGCGCGGGGCGCGATCTGGCTACGGCGGGGCGGGCAGACGTTGAATTACAGCGAAACAGACAGGCTGGAATTACTTGGGGGCATGCTTGATTCGAACGGGAGCTCGCTGACCAGCTTGGCGTATAACCTTGGCCGCGCAGACCGTTATTGCTACAAGCGTGCCTCCAAGCATGGGCCCAGGGGCCCTCCGCAATTGCAGCTGTAAGTTGCAGCGCGTGGCATTTGACGTCAATTTGCATGCCGCGCGACGCTGGGAACTCCGACTCTTGCACAGAGCTTTCAGGTTTCCGAGACGACCAGAGGAGGGGGCATCAGTGTACAATACCAGAACAGCCCGGGTCATTGATGACAGGATGCGTAGGAATGGCGCCAGCCCTATGTACGCTAGGATTCTTGAAGAATTTCTTCAAAGGTGCTTGGAAGGAGTCGCATTCCATGTTGGACGACGGGGAGTCCCCAATGCGCGACTTGCACGGGTACCGGAGCGCCCGGTGGTGGGCAACAGCACTAGCGATCAGCGCCGTTGGGAAGCTGAGGAAGCTAGGATTGGTACACAGCCGTTGTGGACAACAAGCGGCAAGTTGGGAGGCCATATTTGTGCGTGTGTGGGGGAAGGACTGGAGAGACCAGCGAGTAGCATGCACGACCCTTACGACTTGGATGCCTTTGTTTCCCGCCTTTCAAGAGAAGATTTTCCACGACTGGGAGTTGCCAGCGAGTCCGGTTGTTGTGCCTCGCGTGGGGCAACCGCTTAAACGAGCGCGTCTTCACAGTGATATGCAAGACATACCGGCGCTCTTGAGGAACCCGAAGGAGGCCTACTGGAACGCTGGCTCTCGGCGTATCTGGGTTCCGACTGACAATCTCATGCTGGATCAAGTTTGCGCGGGCCTCGCTCGATTGGATCAGCCCTCGATGCGGCCGCTCTTCGCTCGTATTGGCGACGCTTGCACTCATTGCTGACTTTGATTTGTCTTCCCCGGCTGAATACAACGCCATTCATCGAGTGGGACAAGCGGGAGTTCAACGCCGTCGCCGATCATGCGGCGAACGCCGCCCTCGACTTGAGACGAGATTGGGAGTGGCAGGGCCAAGGTCTCATCGATACCGCCCGGATGCAAGTCATGTGCCTTCGTGTGTGCGTGGGTGGTGCGCGGAGGGGCGACGCGCAATCTGCTGGCGGCATGGTGTTATACGCATGCCCGCATCCCAATCAGGGGCGCTCCTGTTCCGGGCAGGGAAGTCCAGTATTTCGAATGATTTTTTCTGAGAAGCGATGTCTATGGATTGGGCTCTGGAGGTTTCAATCACGACGCTACTGGGTGAGAGGGCGCTTCTGCGGTAGTGGGCAGGTAGGGTGTGCGCTCGTCGCATCGTCCCGCAATGTGAACAGAAGAGATGATGATGATGATGATGATGATGATGATGATGATGATGATGATGATGATGATGATGATGATGATGATGATGGTGGTGGTGGTGGTGGTGGTGGTGGTGGTGGTGGTGATGATGATGATGATGATGAGGAGGAGAGGAGGAGGAGGACGAGGAGGAGGAGGAGAGCAGGATGAGCTGGATGATGAGGAGGAGGAACAGAAAGAGGAGGAGGAGGAGGAGGAGAGGAGGAGGGAGGAGGAGGAGGAGAAACGGAGGAGGAAGAGGGAGGCGGAGCAGGATCAGGAGCAGGAGCAGGAGGAGGGGGGAGGAGGAGGAGGAGGGAGGAGGAGGAGGAGGAGGAGGAGAGGAGGAGCAAGACGAGGAGGAGGAGGCGGGAGCAGGATCAGGAGCAGGTGCAGGAGCAAGAGAGGAGGAGGAGGAGGAGGAGGAGGAGGAGGAGGAGGAGGAGGGAGGAGGAGGAGGAGGAGGAGGAGGAGGAGGATGAGGAGGAGGAGCAGGAGGAGCAGGAGGAGCAGGAGGAGGCGCAGGAGGAGGAGGAGGAGGAGGAGGAACAGGAAAATTCTCGGTGATGAAAGGGTCTTCCAGCACAAACAGAAACTTTTGAGCCTTACGTTGGTTCCTGGGTATTTTTCTCGCCGTAGGATACTCTCCAGCAGCTGCGCCTGACCGAAGGCGTTCTGGGGATGCCCGGATCGTCCCGAACGGCCGCCAGAGGCTAGAGCAACGGTGTGTATACCCAGGTCTCCGACGAGTTTTGTTGTTGCTCTTGTGTTTAATGTTCGATATTAGCTTCAGTGGCTGCTGTCGGGCCCTGGGGCTATCAAAGATGGGTCCGGGACGCAAGACCACCCCCAAGGAAGGGGTCGGGGGAGCTCTGGGGCCACGCACTGAAAGAGTCATACCGGCGGATGTCAGCGGTTCAAGCCAGACGATGGATCCGGGCTGTCGAAGAGGGGGTGGGGACTGAGGGTGGGTGGATTTCATGGCCAGGGCCGTGAGATCTCCCAGACTTCATGGCTCCTTTTCTCTCTTTCGGCACGTTCCCCTGGACTCCCGTCCGCGCCTCTCGTCCGCGCACTTGTCTCGTGCCATGGTGCGGGAACCCTCCTGGCCTCCTGCTGGGAGTCCTGGGAGGTGGTTCCAAACCGTTGTGTCCATGCCTTGCACACTAGAAGGGATCGGAGTCTCACGCCGCATCCCGGAAGCATCGGCGATGCGGCGCGATTTGGAGCCCGATCTTCTCCGTCCCAGAGTCCCTGGCTCATCGGCGGTGCTGTGGGCGATACGGTGCGATCCTCCGACCCAAGCTACTTCGACCCCATGTAGGAGGCCTCCACGGGAGGTCTTTTCCAGATTTCAGGAGAATATGTTTTTGCAATCCCTGCATTTTGTTGTTCGATTCTGCCCCGCCTTGGCGAGAGCTCGATACACATGTGGCCGCGTGTCTTTTCAGCGCTCGGCCCTTCTATGGCAGGGTACGCCAGCCCTTCACACGTGTACCTGGCGCGCGGCCTCCACATGCTCCACATGAGGCCAGCCATGTGTGCGTTCCAGCTTCCTGCTTGCTCGACCCCGCACACTTCAGAGGACCCCTGTGTCCTGTCTGTCGCGTTTCGTGCCCTCCCTCAGCTGGAACACGGCCTGCCCTGGAGGCAGACTCGCACCCCTTCGGCTGTCCCGCGCAGTCCGTCCTGACCTCCACGCCCGGGCGGCCCGAAGCAATCGCCACGCCGCGCTTGTGCCCCCTTGTCGGGACCCTGGGGCGCTCGCGGATCGATCCGATGATCACCGACCGGCCTGAGAGGTCACGCGAGCGGCGCGAGAGGCGGGGCCCGACGGCGCGGGCATCGGCGCGTTGCGCTGCCGCCCGCCAGAGGCCGCGCGCGTGAGCGCAGGCTGCCCTCTCCCTGCGCGAGGGGCCCCGCCCCGCGGGCGGCCTGCCGAGGTGACCGAGGCCGCGGTGTCACCGTGCGCGGGGCGTGCAGGCCCGTGCTCTGGCACGCACGCGCGAGGCCTTCGCGGCTCGGGGGTGCTCCGCCGCCGGCGGCGTCCCCTCCCCCCCTCCGCGCCTCTCCTGCCCCTGCGGCGCCCACTTTGGCCCCGAAGGGTCCCCCGGCTGCCCCCACCGCGTCTTGGACCCAAGTTGCCGCGACGGAAGAAGTGCGTTGGGATCCCTTCTGTTCTCGTCGGCCACGTGCAGGGGTGCGAGTTTTTCTACGGCCCTAAAGGCGCCCAAAGCAGGGTTTCTGGCCCCGAGACATGATTTTCTGGCCCCCCCCAGGACCTCAGAGACACCAGCATCAATCTCTCGGGCCCCATGAATCTGCGTTTCCGTTTTCCTTGGGCCCCATGCAGGAGCACCCAGAACAAGTTGTCTGCCTTTGAACCTGATTATTCGGCGGCGGCTTGTTTTTTCTTCTCAAAGAAACAAACAATTAAACGCTATATGTATATATATATATATATATAGTTTTTTTTGTTTTTTTTTGTCCGTTGTTGTTGTTTTTGCTGCTTATTTTCTGTATGTTGTCTTTGTGCTTCCCCATTTATATGTATACCTACATATTATTATGTTCCATTTTGTTCAGGACGTCGGATGTCGGTGGCAGGAGGGAGGGATCAGGGGAGGGGAGGGGGGGGGAGGGGCGGGTGGGGCAGGAGGGGAGATGGGATCTGGACTTCAGGTCTCGTTTGTTCGACGGCACGCCCAAAAAGCAAAGAGCCAGACAGCTGGACAGCTGGACATCCCATGACCTCCCGACATCCAGACACCGAGGTGGCCTGGCGTCCAGAACGCAGGGCGGCCTCGACAGAGCGATAAACTTGACGGTTCGGGCGAACAGTGCGGTTACTTGTTTAAAACCCGACCGGAATGTAGTTTGCGCTGGTATGCCGAACGTGTGAGTGTATATGCTTTTGTATATGTATGTATGTGTTTACACATATACATATATATGTATGTATCCAGCGATCTTCTCGCCAAGTGTTACCAGACATGTAGTGTCTTGTGTATGTGTGACATCTATGTATCTAGCGATCTCGCGCCAACTGAGTACTGCTTCATCTTCGATCTGCGATCGTGCAATTTCTTGCGATCCCTCTGACATCTAGCCTGCGCACAGGGAGCAGGGCCGCTGGAGAGCCCAATGGGCGTCGAGTGTGCTTTTGCCAGCGTTTGGGCTCCGAGGTACTGCGCTGATAGGTTGGTGGCAGGTTGTACTTCCATGCGCTGCATGGCGCAGTTCGTATAGACACTCGAAGGCAACACCGATACAACGATGATCGTAGACTTTGAATCTGATTGACCACCATAACCGTGCTCCCTCCTAACGCGAACCAGAGCTTCCGAAAGGCTGTTTCCTCTGCTCTCGGCCCCCGGGCTGTGGCTGTATTGTCATAATTGTAGGGTCGTCTTCGGACCTTCTTGCGCCATCTTGGGGCCAGTCGGGAGCATATGCGGGCCTCTGGGGCTACCTTCGGGCCATCTTGGGCAATCTTGGGCTGACCTGTAACCTTGGGGCCTATCTTGGGGGCCTCGTTGGGCCATCCTGAACGTTTGGCGGCATCTTGGGGCCTTCTGGGGCCACCTTGGGGCTGTCTTGGGGGCTCTGGAGGCCGTCTTGGAGCGACATCGGGACATTTTCGGGAGCAACATGTGCGTCATTCCAGTACATCTGGCCTCGTAGATCTAAGGCTTAGCATCGCTCGGACGTGTGCATCTTTCTCGGCGAGTACAGCGCCAGAAAATTTGGACCGTCTTGGTTGCATCTTGGACCATCTTGAGAACAAGCACGCACGACACGGAACAGTGCACGGGGAATGGGCGTCCGAGCGATGGCACGACGAGGCAATGTCTGTTTGTACTCTCTCGGGGACGTCTGTGGGTCCTCCTGGGCCACCTTAGGGGCATCTTGGGGCCATCTTCGACCAGGTTTGGGCCCTTGAGGCCCTCTTCGGGCCTCTTGGGGCTGTCCTGGAGGCCTCTTGGTCCATCCTGGCAGCCTCGCGGTCTCCACACGGGAGCCCTTGGGCAATCTGGAGCGGCAATGGGGCTGAGGTGCATCCCCCTGGGTGTCTTGTTTGGGCGCCCCGGGCCCGCAAGATTGGAGGCATAAAGTGCAGCCAGGAGTGGAGAGACAAGAGACGGGGAACAAGAGACAGGGCGAGGGAGAAGACAAGAGACACCAGCAAGACAGCCTGGCGTCACCATGAGGGTCGGCGGATATGTGCTGCGGTGCTGCTCAACTCTTCCTGGTCAGTTTCTGTATACTGCAGGGCGGTCACATGAAACCAACCAACCTCGGTTGCGTGCTTGAGCTGCTTCGTTCGATGTGTCGCGCGCTCAGCTGCGATAGGTGCAGAGGGTATTTTGTCATTCATCAGCTGGTTGTTGCCGCGCCCATGGCCATTGCGTGGGAGGCAAGTCTTTCCCATTTAAGGGGGATGTGTGCAGTCAGCGTCCTCGCTCGGGGGCCAAAACAATTCAGCCTGCAGTTTCAAGAGGTAGTCGTTGACACTCCTTCGTCCATGTTGCCATAAACCTCTGTTCCCGTACCTCCTTTTTCAATCGCGTTTCCGCGAAGCGCTTCGGGAACGCTGCTATTCAAACAAATTCTGCTCATCAGGTGTGCAGGGAGAGGAAGGGATGCGTTGACGCAGAGCATCGATGCTGTAGACATTTGCTCGAGAGGCCAGGGCAGATATCCATGGTCACTACTTCAGGTTTAGTAGCTACCTCCATACACTACTTCACCCCTGGCGCATGGATGAGCCGCCTCTTCCTGGCGGGCCTTCTCCTGCGTAGCTGCCTCGCCGTCAGCCTCCGCCACGACGCCAGGACCAACCGCGAGTCCGAGGCGTGCACGGACGCGGCCCCTGGTGACTGGTGCCACGCCGCGGTGGTCTGGGCCAAGACCGTCGGCTACAAGAAGCACCCGGAGTGGTTCCCCGGCGACGCCAGCCAGTACAGCCTGCGGGACTTCGAACATGAAGAAACGCACAAACACAAACTTTTGCAGCTCCGCGCGGATTTCTTGGATCTGCGATGGACCTTCCCCCGCGCGACAGCATGGCGAGTTCAGCGCGGAGCCAAGAAGTCCAGGCGGACCTCCGAATGTTTGTGTTGTTCCCCAAACAGCTGTGCTGACTGGGGTGCTTCTGTGACGGAAGCTAGTTCCGGCCGAGGGAAGGACGCACAGGGACATCCTCAACACTCTGAGATGGACCAGTCTGGGCCGTTTTGCCTGAGACATCCCCACAGCTCTTATTTTTGTGTTGTCCGGCAGTGGGCGCTTCGCCTGTGGTTCAGCGCGTTTCGCCTGAGACATCCTCGAAACCCTCAGCATCCGAGATGCCGCGCGAGAGGTGGTCTGGCGCGTTTCGCCTGAGACATCCTTCCAACTCTGAGCTCCGAGACGCCGTGCCTCAGCTCTTCCTCCCTCAGATCTGCGCGTCGTGAACAAACTGCGACCGTTTTTTCTGTTACATTTTCAGCTTCTGGGGGCCCCCGCTGGGCCCCGGGACCTTCATGCAAGTACTCAAAAGGAAACTCTGTCCTACCGAAGGTCTTCAGACTTCTGGGGGCCGACGTTGCGAAACAATCGCGACGTCGGCTCTCCGGGGATGTCGGGGCCTCAGCTCTCCCCAGGCCACCCGCGAGGCCCCCCGGGGCATTTCTCTTTGCGTCCCGGCGGGCCGTCGGGGTTTTGTCGGGGCATGGCTTGGAGGCCTCCCTGAGCGCCCGGAGGCTGAGCACGCTTCTTGTCTAGGGGAACAAAAAGTGGCATAAACATAAAAACTCGGAGGTCCGCGCGGATTTCTCGGATCGGCGCTGGACCCCCCTCCCTGGCGCGCGGAGCGCGCCAGGGGCGGCGCCGGAGGCGCCGCTGGGGGGCCCCAGCGCGGATCCGAGAAATCCGCGCGGACCTCCGAGTTTTTATGTTTATGTCATTTTTTTGTCCCCCTATTGTCGGAGGAGGAAAATGTACCCGTACTGCTACCCTTCCCTCGCTTTCGCCGTTCTGGGCCTCCTGGGAGGCCCTTGTCGCCACCGCTGGATTCGCGCCGAAATCCTGGTCAGAACGCACCGCGGTGGAGTTACGGGGAGTGGCGGTATTGGTACCTTTCGGTATCTCCATTTTGGGGTGTGCTCCGGAATCTGACACGAGACTTCCAGGTAAAATTGCATTCCGTAGCGGTTGTCTGGGCGTCGGCATGACCAACATGGAAGTCACCGTCTTTGGGCGAGCGGTCGTTTAATGAGCAGCACCATTGTCGGCCGATCCGCTGCCAGTTTGGCTCAAGTCTGCCTCAAACAATTGCGGCTTGCAATCGTCGCGCTCGAGCAGGAAGGTTCACTTCGACTTTCGTCGAACTCCTCAGCCAGCCAGCCATGATTCCAGTTTTCTTATGTTTCTTGTTTCCGTTTGTCTTGCCCCCATCTTTTGTCAACCTGCTGTTCGGCTATTCGTTCTTGCAGTTCAGTCCATACTTCATGCTGTTGGTGGGCATGGCCATGTGCTATTTTCCCTTTGGCCTCATCTTGATTTCGAAAATACAGATACGAGGCGACGACAATGGACCAGACAATGTCGACCCGCGCGCGGTGACCGAGAAGTTGGCACAGGACAGCGCCTACATTCGGCATTGCAAGGCCGCGCATGAAAACATGCTCGAGGGGTTTGCCTTCTTCGTCGCAGGAGTGCTCGGCGCCCTTCAAGCTGGAGTCGAACCAGCAACCGTTTCATCGTATTGTATGTTTTGGTTCATCGTTCGTTCTACCTACATCGGCTGCTACGCCTTCAACAATGATAGCGTGGCCGTCTCCGCCGTGCGCACAGGGATGTTCTTTGTCGTTCTCGGTATCCAAGGCCGGCTCATGTACGAAGCCGCGTGGGCTTCAACGGGCGGTTCGCTCATGCTGAGGTGAGATTGCTTGGGCAGCGAAGTCTGAGCCAAGCACAGCCCTCCAAGGCTGGCACCTCCGAGGGTCAGCCGCTCGCAGAGATCTCCTCCTCCGTCTCCGTCGTCCAGCGATCGAGACCAAAGTGATCGCACTGCCCACCCATGCAGGAAAAGAAAGAGAAAGAGAGAGAGAGAGACGCTCCCCCTCCCGACCCTACCCCGCTCCCTCCACTATGCGGGGCGGGCCTGGAGGTTCGTGATGATATTCAGCGCCATCTGCGCTCGGCATCTGCCAAGCTCGTTTCGGCATCCACGAGCGCCCTTCAACCTCAACAGGGACACGAGCTCAGGGAGTCTGGTGGGAGGAGCTGGCCTCCTGCTCCTGCCTCTTCTACTCCTGCCTCTTCTCCTCCTTCTCCTCCTCCTCCTCGTTCTCCGCCTCCTCCTCCGCCTCGTTCTGTCCCTCCTCCTCCTGCTCCTCCTCCTTCTTCTCCTGCGCCCATGCGACACGAGGGATGCAGTGATCAATGCCCAGAAGGCGGGCCAGAGGAGATCTGACTGGAGCGCCGGCCGTTGCGGCGGCAGACCCCCCGAACGCTCAGGAGCAGGCGGCCAGCCCCAGTGGTCCGGCGCGCTTCGCCCGAGACATCCTCGCAACTGGGCTCCGAGATGCCGCGCGCGAGGTGGTCCAGCCCGTTTCGCCCGAGACATCCTCGCAACGCTGAACAATTCGGGGCTCCGAAATGCTGCGGGCGAGGTGTGTCTGGCCCGTTTCGCCTGAGACATCAACACATCTTTGGGCTTCGAGATGCCGCGCGAGAGGTGGTCCAGCTTGTTTCGCCTGAGACATCCTCGCAATTCTGAGCTCCTAGATTTCGCGCAGAAGTAGTGCAGCCCGTTTCGCCTAAGACATCTTCGCAACTCGCGGCTCCGAGATGCCGCGCTCGAAGTGGTCTGGCCCGTTTCGCCTGAGACATCCTTGCAATTCTGAGCTCCGAGATGCAGCGCGCGAGGTGTCTGGCCCGTTCCGCCTGAGATGCCTCGAAGTTCTGGGTTCCGAGGGGGAGGAAGGAGGAGAGGGGAGGGGTCACACCCAAATGAACCATTTGATCACATTTCTGTTGTCGAATTGTGCTCTTGGGGACACCCCTTGCCCGATAGAGGAAGTTGTGGGCGCTGAGGCGCAAGCACGATTCCTTAGACCTGAGAGAATTGCAAGGACGTTTCAGGGGGGAACTTCATATCGAAATGGCAACTTGCGGGAGATGCCTCCAGCGAGAGCGCGGCGAATAGGGAGGAGGCAGGTTGGGGAAGAAAGGGAGACAGCAACGAGAGCCTCGCTGGCATTCCGAAGGAGGCGGAGGACGCGGAGAAAAGGGAGGAGGAGGAATAATCATAACAATACTAATAATATAACGAGTTGTAAATATGAGAGTCGTAAAACCAATGCAAGTTAGACTACTTAGACTAATTGGAACAATAAATGTGATGCAATAATAAAGCTAGACACAATAACATACTACTACTACTACAACAACAACTGCTACGACTAATTCTACTAACAATCATCATGATACTTATGATGAGAAGAAATAGAAGAAGATGACGGGGAGGAGGAGGAGAAGGGGGAGGAGGAGGAGAAGGAGGAGGAGTAGAAGTAGGAGGAGGAGAAGGAGGAGGAGGGGGGGGAGGAGGAGGACGAGGACGAGGATGATGATGATGATGAGGAGGAGGAGGAGGAGCAGGAGGAGCAGGATGAGGGACAGGACAAAGAGGAGTGCGATGAGGGGCTAGAGTATGAGAAGGATTACAAAGATGATGACGATGATGATGCTGATGATGATGATGCTGCTGATGATGATGGTGGTGGTGATGATGCTGATGATGCTGATGATGCTGATGATGATGCTGACGATGCTGAGGACGATAATGATGCTGATGCTGACGCTGATGATGCTGCTGCTTATGATGCTGCTGCTGCTGATGATGATGTTGCTGATGGTGATGATGGCGATGACGATGCGGATGATGCTGATGATGACAATGCTCGACGATGACGATGACGATGACAATGACGATGACGATGGCGAAGATGATGATGCTAATGATGCTGCTTTTGATGATAGTGATGCTGCTGATGATGACGATGGTGATGATAATGATGATGCTGCTGATGATGATAGTGCTGCTGATGATGATGAGGATGAGGATGATTATGATGCTGATGATGCTGATGATGATGCTGATGATGATGCAGATGATGATGGTGGTGATGATGCTGGTGAGGATGATGATGCTGGTGCTGCTGATGATGATGATGAGGAGGAGGAGGATGAGGCAGAATATGATGATGATGACGATTCTGATGAGGATGATGATGTTGCTGATGGTGTCGATGTTGTTGCTGTTCTTCATGTTGGTGGTGTTGATGGTGATGTGTGTGATGGAGATGACTCTGCTGCCGATGATGAAGATGAGGATTAGGGTGAGGAGGTGGAGGAGCAGGAAGAGGAGGACGAGTAACATGAGGATCACAGGGAGAGTCGTATCATGATGCTAGTGATGATCGTGTTTTTGATGCTGATGATGATGCTGATGCTGACGGTGATGATAATGATGATGCTGCTAGTGATGATGATGCTGCTTCTGATGATGACGATGATGATGCTAATGCTGATGCTGATGCTGCTTTCGATGATGATGGTGCTGATAATGATGATAACGACGACGATTATGATGATCATGCTGGTGATGCTGCTTCTGATGATGATGATGATGACGATGACGATTGTGCTACTGCTGATGATGATGCTGATGCTGATGATGATGACGATGATGATGCGGATTGATGTTGATGTTGTTGATGATGATGATTCTGGTGGTGCCGATGATGATGATGATGACGATGATGATGAGGAGGATGATGATGATGATGATGATGATGATGATGCTGATGCTGATGTTGCCTCTGCTGCTGATGATGAGGATGCTGATGATGATGCTGATGCTGTTGATGATTCTGATGATGATGCTGACGACGATGATGATGCTGATGATGCTGATGACTGTGGTGGTCATGGTGATGGTGATGGTGGTGACGACGACAATGAGGATGCTGCTAATAATGATGATGCTTATGATCATGCTGATGCTGATGATGAGGATTCTGGTGGTGGTGATGATGGTGATGATGACGACGATGCTGATGATGATGCTGGTGATGATGTTGGTGCTGCTGCTCCTGCGGATGACGATGCTGCTGCTGCTGCTGATGATGATGGTGATGATGATGATGATGATGATGATGATGATGATAGTGCTGCTGATGATGATGAGGATGAGGATGATTATGATGCTGATGATGCTGATGATGATGCTGATGATGATGATGATGATGGTGGTGATGATGCCGGTGAGGATGATGATGCTGGTGCTGCTGATGATGATGATAAGGAGGAGGAGGAGAAGGATGAGGCAGATTATGATGATGATGACGATTCTGATGAGGATGATGTTGCTGATGGTGTCGATGTTGTTGCTGTTCTTCATGTTGGTGGTGTTGATGGTGATGTGTGTGATGGTGATGACTCTGCTGCCGATGATGAAGATGAGGATTAGGGTGAGGAGGTGGATGAGCAGGAAGAGGAGGACGAGTAACATGAGGATCACAGGGAGAGTCGTATCATGATGCTAGTGATGATCGTGTTTTTGATGCTGATGATGATGCTGATGCTGACGGTGATGATAATGATGATGCTGCTAGTGATGATGATGCTGCTTCTGATGATGATGACGATGATGCTGCTAATGCTGATGCTGATGCTGCTGTCGATGATGATGGTGCTGATAATGAGGATGACGACGATTATGATGATCATGCTGATAATGCTGCTTCTGCTGATGATGACGATGATGATTGTGCTACTGCTGATGCTGATGCTGATGATGCTGGTCCTGATGATGATGACGATGATGATGCGGATTGATGTTGATGTTGTTGATGATGATGATTATGGTGGTGCCGATGATGATGATGCTGATGCTGATGCTGACGTTGCCTCTGCTGCTGATGATGAGGATGCTGATGATGATGCTGATGGTGATGCGGATGTTGATACCGATGCTGATTTGGATGATGATGCTGATGTTCATGATGTTGATGATTATGATGATGATGATGATGATGATGATGAT